TTGGAATATTATAGAATGGTAGTAGCACACAAAAATAGAGTTAAAAAATTATTAAATTACAAAGTAAAATTATTTACTATTGTAGTTGAATACTTTTATCATATCAATCTAATTCGACAATAAATATTTTAAGAATATTAGGAATGAATGATTTTAATTGTTTATATGGAAAAAGCTAGTTAAGCTTCTTTTTATTTGAATGAGGAATTTTTTTTTGAATTTTTGAGGGTAATATCTTTAACTAAATACATATTGTAATCATTTGGTGTATTGTTGAAAAAATTGGCCAAGTGAGGGTTGGGAAAATAAATAGTAGCCACAAAAAAAAAAGATATACTAAAATAATATTAAAATAATACTAAAAAAATATTAATATGAATAAAAAATTTCTTATCACGAGGGGAGACTACAGTGATGGAAACTTTTTATATTTATTGAAGTTATTGAATCTAAACGAGGTAAAAATAAAATGATTTCAAAATTTTTTTCTAACTAAAAAAAAAAATGCAAAATATTAAAAGTCACAGGCGAATTCAAAACTCGTACCTGAAGTGTGAAAGACACAAGTGTTACTAATTTGGCAACTCTTCGTCGCTTTTGACGCATAATAAAATTAGAAATTTAAGCTAATTTAAATTTAAAAATTACTTTTTCGACTTTTAAAAAGTAAAACAATTTTTTATAAGTTTAATTTCATATCTTATGAACTTTTTTCTATGTCAATTAGATTATATAATATTCATGAATGTCAGTGTATTCCTTCTAGAACAAGGGAAATTTTAAAAATGTTTAGGGGTAATATCTTTAACTTGTTACGATTTGTGATCCTTTGACGTATTGTTGAAAGAAATCGGTCCAGTGAGAGATAAGAAAAAGTGGCAACAGACATAAAAAAAAACAAAAATAAATGAGTTTCGTTTTGAAGCTAAAAAAAAAATACACATCATGATAAAATTAATACCTTCTCATCTTCTATTATTTTATTACACTTTGAATTATTTTATCGTAGACAACTGTGTTGATTTATACATTAATATTACCATAATTTCTTATATTTCTTTGACATTATTTAAAATTAAGTCCACCGATCTTATTAAGAATTTTTTAAGAAACTTTTAATAATAATAAATACATAACACAATATTTTATTAATTTATAAAAATTTATGATTAACAATAATAAATTTCAGTAATTACCTCCTTTAACAATGTAAAATTAATCAAATTACAAACGCATAAAAGTATGATGGTTTCTGAAAATATTTTAACCATTTCGAACTATTTTAAAGTGAACTTAAAAATTTTGATGATATTTTATAAATTTAATGGTCTTTTTTATAATTTTGTGTATATGTGTTTTACATGATTTATTTTAAGATTAATAGAAAATAAATTATATTTAAATAAATATTTAGAGTAGACATTTGTACAATCTAATCATCATAAAAATTTAACTAAGCTGAATAACTTTGATAATCTATTGTTTATATTGTTATATTTACAACTTATTCTTTGTTTTTTATGAAAGACGCAATTTATCAAAGTTTACATTGAGCTTAGGACCCCAAATTCTGTAACAGTCTGTCTACTATTAGATCCACTACATATTTTGCATAAATTGTATTTATGTTTATTATATATACCTGCAATGTATTTTATATTTAATCAACTTAATGTGTTTAAGTTAATTAATTTTTATCATCTAAAAACAAGTCAATGATATATATAAACACCACAAAAAAAAACACATAGTAAAATAATATTAACATGATAGAAATTTCTTTAACACGAGAAAAAATACAAAATATTAATTACTTCAGGTGAATTCGAACTTCATGAAAGAACCTTGTGAAAGACACAAGTGTTACTGATTCGGCAACTATTCGTCGCTTTCGTCGCATGATAAAATTAGCAATATAAGCTAATTCAAATTTAAAAGTTAATTTTTCGACTTTAAAAAAGCAAAAAATTTAAATAAGTTAAATTTTTTATGTCTCATGAACTTTATTCTGTGTCAATTTAATTATATAAAATTCATGAAAGTCCCCTAGTAAGATATTTTAAAATAAAATAAAATACAATACCCAGAATTTTAATACAAAAATAGCATTTTTTTATAATACGGTAGCCATTTTCACTAAGAAGAAAATCTATATTTCGAATTTCTTTTTTTTTTTTGTAGAAATGTTTATAATATAATCTTTAAATTAAGATTAAACAGAAGTGTTAATATTTCTGGAAAATTTTCAAAAATTAAATTGAAAAATCTTAACTTGTTTGCAAAAATTACTTTTTTAAATTTCCCCTTTGAGCAAGTTAAGGTTCAAATTTTCAAAAAATTTATATCAAATGAAATAAAATTATCTAAGTTTTCGATAAATTTTAAATTATTATTATTCTGTAAGTAATTGAGTGGGTTATGATAAAAAAATCACCCTGTATACTATTAAATTACACAATTACAATTAGGCAGCAAAAAGCCAGTTCACAACAGAGGGAAAACATTTTTGTCATACAAAGAAAAATAAAGAGAGAGAGAAGGAGTATATATATTTTATTATCTTGGGGATATTAGATAATGTTTTGTCATAAAAAAGAGAAAGAGAGGGAGAGATATATTCAGTTTTTTTTTTTTTAGAAATTGAATGGATGTAGTGAAGAATGTTAATTATATAATTGGCGATGGTTTATCACGAATAAAAAGGGTGAGTGTAGGAATAAGATAAAATCACCGAATACTTAAATTTGTTTATGTACAAGGTAAAATAAAAATATACGGTGTATCATCAAGGATCTTTTGTTTAAATGGCATGACTTCATATTATTTATCGTAAAATGTAAAGTGAACAGAAATTACACACGGATGACACTAACCTGAATAATATTAATTCTACTATGAAATGTGCAAAGTTTTTTGGGGGAGGATTTTACGCCTCTTAATATTTTATTGATTGTAGTATATATAGGAAACAATATGTGGTTATGTAAAATGCAAAAGTTCGATTGTTGGACACCAAGCTTTAATAGCTGAATTATTTTTTATATTAATGTTAATTACAAGTGAAACATTTACATTAAACACATACTGTTGCGATTAGAATGATGATAAAATAGTTGTTGACAACAATTCTTTAAAATTATTTATGTTTGGAAGCAATTCTATTATTTCCTGGATAAAAATTATTATTAACTTATTTTAAATCTATCTTTAATTTTTTATGTCATGCTTAGAAATATAAATTTTTACCTTGTGTCCAGCTAGCTTGATTGTTTGTCATATAAACAAAAACTTATAATAAGAGTAATAACTATAATCTACTTATTTATTTTATAATCTTATTAAAGTTGTTAAACTTGAAATATTACTTCATTTAAATTCCTTTCTACACTTTATATCTGAATATATTTGTTTTTTTTATACTTAAAAATGAAAATTCATAGAACCAAATAGATTATGAGAACCTATCTGTTGTATTTAAAAATGAAACAATCTTTTTGTTCTAACTTATAGTTATAATAGTTCAATAATAACGCAAATGTAATTAATAAAGATATAATCAAACAAAGTAAAATATATAAAATAATGATACACTTAAAAGAGGATAAATAAATAATACACAAAAAGAAAACTTAATGTCACAAACGTATCACACGGAAAAAGATTACCTTCGGTACTCCAGTGGTCTTCTCTCTCTCCCCCTTTTCAATTCATTCCATTTCGTCTTATATACTAAAATATTTTGTTTTTATTTTTATAAAATTCATAAAGTAATCATTTTCAAAAATGTTTATAAATATTTACTTCCTAATAGTAACAATAATTCGGGAATTACAATTAATCTAAACATTACAAAAGTGTTCTACTTCTAGGTTTACAAATAATAGAAAAATAGACTATATCATATTTTTGTATAAATAGATCAAGAAATTCATAGTTAAACCAAACATTACAAAAATGTTTTGTTTTCAGTTTTACAAAATAATGACCTATATTACAAATCCCTACGATCTCCTTAGTGACATGTCACAAACTATTGTTTTACCAACTGTTTTAACCGTTAGATGTACTAAGGCAGATTTTCGAAATGCACTTATTAAATAGACATTCCAATTGAAGAATTTAAAAAAAAAATTCTTACCGTTTGCACGTAGAATATTAAGTCTCGGCACACATATTTATTTTTATTTTATAGTACATAACATAAGCTTATAATTGGTATANTTAAATAGACATTCCAATTGAAGAATTAAAAAAAAAAATTCTTAATCGGAACAATTCATAAAATATAAAATTAAAAAATTAATAGTCTTAATAATCCTTAAAAATTTAAAACTAAAAAATAAAAATGTTAAGTTATTTTATTAATTACATTACTTATGAGATAGTTAGATAAAAGACACCAAGTGTGAAAAAGTTTCTAAGTCCGAGAGAGCGCAATCGCAAAACAGTTTGATACAGAGACGCTTCAATGACCAGATTTAAAAAAAAAAAGAAGGTAACGAATGAGCTAGAAATCGTTATTTTATAGTCCTGTTTGTGGGAAATTGATGTTTTTGATTTTAATTGAAAAATGCTTGGTTAGTCAATTAAAATTAAAGGGAGACGTGCGCAACTATTATTCTACTAATTTGAGTTAATGTTTCATACGAGTATTTTTATCTATCATCTCTCATAAAAATATGAATTATTAGAAAAACCATCATTATAAAAATATAAATAAAATAAAATTATTAGCGCTAAATATCTATTACAGTATTTATTGTAAAATTTTATTTGACATATGTTTAAAGGACCCAGTATTTCCGGAACATATTCAAAAGTTAAGTTGAATAAGTTGAATTTTTTATACAATGTTTCAAGATTTGAACGCCCCTATATAAGTGGAAATCGTTCAATTTTAATAAAAAGTATGTCAAATGAAAGAAGTATATATAATGTATTAAATAAAAAAAAATTGTGTTGATACATACATTTTTCAAAAAGTTATAGCAATTTAAAGTTGTAAATTTAAAATCCAAAATCCAAAAAATTTTAACAAAAAAATACCATTTTTTTAACTACAGCTGCCGTTTGCACGTAGAATATTAAGTCTCGGCACACATATTTATTTTTATTTTATAGTACATAACATAAGCTTATAATTGGTATATGTTTAAAAGGACGCAGTATTTCTGGAGTATTTTCAAAAGTTGAGTTTTGTACAATATCGCTATTTTAAATCCCTCTCTGTGAGCAGGTTAAGAGTTAGATTTTCAAAAAAACGATATCAAATGAAAGGGAAATATCTAAGTCTTAACATAAAAAAAAACGGTACCACAGTGGGGTCGAGGCACAGTGTGGACGAGGCATAGATGGGGCAATTATAGATGATATCTGACAGTGATTAAAATCACTAACATAAGAAACGCTTCGATGCAAATCTGTAGATAGTGTTTCATTTAGAGAAATTGGTGGATTATTCCAAAAGCAACATCAACTCTTATTTCTTTAATTATATCCTGATTAGTAGTTCTTTGATTTTAAAATATAATATATGAATAAATAATAAAACTAATTATAGTTTTTAAATTTAGTATGAAATTGTGAGGCCAGCTATGATGTATGGTTCATAGTGTTGGGCGGTTGATAAGAAAGTAGAGCAGAGAATAAGTGTAGCAGAGATGAGAATGCTTAGTTGGATGAGTGGAGTNGAGGTGAGAATGCTTAGTTGGATGAGTGGAGTGACTAGAGAAGATAGGATAAACGAGCATATAAGAGGAAGTATAGGTGTTGCGTCAATCGTGGATAAGATGACAGAAAATAGACTTATATTGTTAAGTCATGTTATGAGGAGAGTAGAATCGGAAGCTGTAAGAACAGTTATAGAAATTAATTTTGAAGGAAGAAGAGATAGAGGAATACCAAAAATGAGATGGAGGGATGCTATTGAATGCGATTTGAGGACAGCTGTTGTGAGCGTAGAAGATGTGGGAGATCGTTTCAAGTGGAAGCTTAAGATAAGGGTGGCCGACCCCAAGTAGTTGGGATTAAGGCAAAGAAAAAGAAAAAGATTACCAGAAATTCCGGTGGCAATTGACA